AAACTAAAAGAATTCGGATGAGCTAGACATGAATGTAACATTAACAGGGATAATAACGTGTTTGAAAGGTGAATCGAAGAGATATGATTGCAGTTCTATAACCATGATGATTAGTTAATCTTAGAGTAAGTGGCATGCTTTATTTAGGATAACAGTATGAGATTATTTATTGTGTGTGAGTGTGTGTGTGTAATCATGGTAATAAAATATCCATATAAATAATCATGGTGATAAAATGTGCAGATTCGCAACCACCTAGTCATGCTGTGTGTGAGAAAGCTTTTTACAAATATTTATTGAAATGATCGATAAAAAATGAAATATTCTAATCATATTTATTCAAGGCAGTTTTCTTCAGAAAATAGAAACAACTGGAAAAAGACGATTACATCTTAAGAAGACAATAAGGTTGTTATAAAAACTTTAAAGCATTTCCACATGTATTAGGACAATATAGTGAGACAATAACCTATGCCTGACTTGACATCATCACAGTTTTATTAGCCAAAGTTTCTCTTACTGTCTGACTAACTGGTTTCAACGTAGAACTTCGCCCCAATGTGCAGCAGTTCGAGTCACCACACTTCACTTAGCCCACAAAGAAAGAGAAGAAAGTAAAAAAAAGATTCAAAACAGAGATATGAGGCAAAAAATAGTAATATGGAAGAACAATATAGTTTTATTGGATATTATAAGTCACAAGGAGTGGACAATTTTGAGCCATATCACCAAATGCCTCCAGCCATTGGTTTTTACCGTCCTGAGGACCCCGACCAGGAAGTCTGCACTTTCTTACGTGGCTTAAACCAACTGTCAAAGATCTCATTTAGTCGCTGTTGTTCTTCTTTTACAGTACCAGGATAATGGTGGAACCTGTTAGGAAGCATGTATACATGTTACTCGCTTCGTAGTATTTCTCAATTTATTGATTGGATACAAGATATGAACATTACTGACAAAAGTAGGCTATCCCTCGAAAATGATGAATCACTTTTCACCAGTGTCCCAACTACAGGAAACTATCTGTTTTGTGTGCAAATATATCGATGAAAACCAGTTAAACATGGAGAATCAATTACTGCAGCTGAATACTTTTAATGTACAATTCACTTTCTGTCACATCACTTACAGATAAAAGGATGGGATTGCAATGGGATCTCCCGTAGGTCCATTACAAGCAAACTGTTTCATGGTAAACCTCGAGGATGGTCCACGTAAGTCGAGTATTGATCATTTTTAACCGTATACAAGGTAATTGGACAACATTTTCATCAGTTGCAACAATAAGTGGGACTTCAGTCAGCTGTTACAGGTATTTAACAATTTCCATCCAGGAATAAAATTCACTCTTGAAAAGGAAAACGAATCCAAAATTCCTTTTCTTGATGTGGAATTAACAAGAAGACCCGATGGAATCTTCGGAAGGTCAGTTCATAGAAAACGTATATATAGAACGGTCAACTGACAAATTTCTATAGCTGCGTACCTACTGAACAACAACTAAGTTTAATCAAATCCCTTACCACTTGCATCTGTAAATCTGGAAGAAGAAGTATACCTTCTGAAAAATGGATACCCAATGAAATTCATTGATAAGAACACCAAACCAAAAGTTCACAGAAATGAAACATTATTTCTACCAAAAAACAAACTTTACATGAACTTTGATTTCAAGGGAGACATAACCTGCGATATCCTTAAAAGAGTTTCATCATTTTTCGGAAGAATATTCTTCGCAGTAACGTACTGTTTTCCAGTCGTCCACTGGGCTGTAGAAGCCTGAAGGACAAGATCTTGCATCTGACCACTTCTGTGCGCATATCTCAGTTCACCTGTTCCTGTGGAGCCAGGTACATTGGTCGTTCGATACGTATCCTGTCTAAGAGGGTTCAAGAAAGGCAGCAGTGGCTTTATGAGAAGTGCGATAATTGAACAACTTGTCAACACTGGTCAATTTATCTCAACAAACTCACCCCACAAAGTGAAGAACAACCTGCCAAAGACAATACATTACATTGCTGAGGCTCTAGCCATTCAGATAGAGCAATCGGAGCTCTGTATACAAAAGAAAATTATTCAACCACCTCTACTGTCATGGTAAAACCCTTGTTGATTTATATTAACTTGATTTTGTTTGTTTGTTTTTTTAACTCTAAATAACTCTTGCGCCATTTCGTATCTTTCTTCGTTTCTATGTCTATTCTGATTACAACTCATTAAATTATTCATATAATTACGTAAATCTACGTATTCAACTCCTTTTATGCATTGATTAATATTAACAACTATGATTATGACAACTCGTCGCTTTTATTTTTTACCCTCTTTCATGAAAAAACTGTATATAAATGCGAATGCATAGCTACTATTCGTTACATTTTTTCATTAATGCCTGGATATACATTACTCATGAAGCTCGGAAATACGATCATGAACGTGTTTAGTTGTAAGTCCAATTTTGACTAATTATTATTAACAAACTTTTCTCCACAAGACTGGTAACTCACTTATTATAATAAAAATGTTATGTGTATTAGAATAGAGCTATTGACCAGAATCTAATTAAAAAGCAAATATTTCTTCGCTCAGTTTTTCGTCTTTCAAATATTTAAATGGGGATTTTCGCTACTTAAAATGTTGGCTTTTATTTTAGCCGTCTCCCAACAAGTTGAATCGAAATTAAAACTATGTTAGCAAATATTGAGAGACTATTGTAACAGTACTTTGCTAACCCACAGATACATGCGGAAGTTTCCCATTTTATCTCAAATGTACCCCTTTTGGCAAGTGAATGTATAACTGAGTTTTAACGTAGAACTTTTTACAAAAGTGCAGCAGTTCAAGTTGCCATACTCCTCCTCCTCTAAGTAGGTAGCGCACAAAATAAAGAGTAAACGAAATTCAAAAGAACTATAATGAGCAGAAATATACAGAAGAAACAAAAGCAACACGGAAAACATGAGAACTTATTGAATCTGGGCAAATACAAAATGCCAATGTATCTCAGTCACTGAGGACGACTTTGAGCCGTATCAGTAAAAGTCTCCATGACCAAACAAGCAGTCTACATCTGCATACACGGCGATGAGATATCAAATTTTGATTTGACTATTCCAAAATGTCCACCGACCTAATGCTATGTCAGCTAACACTGTCCATCGAGGATAGCGATGTCTTGGACTACTTAACACGTGTCAATAGCCATCTCAATCGATGTATCTTCAGAACAGCATTGACTGACTTCCACTACTTATCTAACACTCTGTGCCCAATATCAATATTTCTCACCGCATTAAGAGGATGTATGTGACTCATTCAGCTCGGAGCCAAGCAGATGGATTAATTTTGCATCTCAATGATTGCTGGGTGAATGTCATAACCGAGAGAATAATGCTCATGTCCAGAATTGTGTTTAACTGAGCCTACTTTTATCACATGTATTACTGCTGCTACGTGCATTTTAAGACGATTTATTATTTTATCTTACGTCTAAATAATTTGTAAGCGCCATATGATTAACTGAAAAGTGTTCTTAAAATAAATTGCTTGTATTCACTCTTTGCATCGAATGATAAAAGCTGCAATCTTCTCCTCTCTCATATGAATCTAAGTTAAACACCAACATGCTGTTATTAAATAATCAGTAAAATAACAGGTCAATTAAAACAAGCGTGATATATTACCTCAATTTTATTTTGACCCTGAACAGTCAATTACAAAGATGAGGAATTTAAAGGCGATTAAGGTAACACAGAGTCTTAAGCAGTTAAATTTCTTACATTACATTCAAATTAATTTGTCACAGTGATAACATTACTTACAGCTTTCAATGGTGCCCACTATAGAAAATTGATTTTCGGTCGGCCAATCATTTGTTTGAACATATCTAAATTCGGGGAGTTGAAAAAATGTAACCTGCCTTCAAACAAAATGTATAGCTCACTGAACCCCCACACTACTGTTTTTTTTTAAAAGTTGGAATTTACAAAGCTGAATATGGTACCCAGTTCTTGTAGATAAGCTTATTTTAAGAATCGAAACTGAATTCTAATTGCTTCCAAGTATCTTTCGTGATCAAGCACGCTTATAGAGTGCCATGAAATCTTCAGATTACTTGACTACTTTCGACTTTAATGTATGCCATAGTCTTATTCATAATTACATGTTAAATGTTATGGTCTTTTCAAAGGATTAAAATAGTCCATAAATGAAAAGGGCACATATAGTGTTTCCAACATGTTCTCTTCGCAACTTGATACACACCAACTACATATTTGACTGGGAATTCTCGATTAACGATACAGTTAATATTTTCGCCTGACAATCAAACAATCTGATAAAATATTTAGACAAGATGTCATGAAATAAAGCTCTTTAACTTTTAGGGGCACGATGTTGCAGAATACATACTCCGAACAATCACAACAGATAAGTGTATAGCCAATTTTCGAGTAAGCAATCCTCCTACCTTGCGCATTGGATTAAGTAGGATTTTCAAAAAACAAAAACTAATGACTTTCTTCAGTTTCTCATTGCATAAACGAAATTTTAATAATGAAGCATAGTTTAGTTATTGATAGCTACGAACAAAAGACCACTGCAGGACAGTGCGTTCAACTTACACACATTTAGGTGTATGCAGTATAAGCGAAAAACAAAAACTGACAGAATATAAACTAGTAAATGTGAAAAGAAAACAACAAGATGGAAAGGGTGAAAGACGAAAGCCTTGGCGAGAAAAATCACCCCCCAACAAATTTATCATTAGGGTCGGAACAGAAAATCAAACAAAAACTATCTCACTCAAGAGCAGATTACAGAAAACAAACTTCAAATATACAACACATACACAATGTCTGCTGTCTAAGTGTAAAGTGCAGTTTACAGCTCAAAAATAAATAAGCATACTACCTTGTGAAATAATAATAATAACAAAAATGACTTTCGAGTCATATCATGTGAATCAGTAGAACTAGACACCCTTTTGTGTGTTCGTATGCGAACTAGACTAGTGCTTTTATTTCCTCACAACATTTTTTTTAAATACAAAGTGCAGTGAGGTGCAGGTATACATACAAATGTAAATACACCTGAAAAGTAAGAGGTTAATAATACTGATAATAATGGCAGTGGTTGGACAACAAAGGCATTGTTAAATAACAATGGTGATAGAGTGATGATAGTGAATACAAAATAGAAGGAAGGCTAAATAAGTGCTGAGTGAAATCGATAGGAATAGTAACAGTGGGAGTAACAATAGTCATAATAATAATAATAATTTCAGGCAATGTTAATAGTGGTATTTATAGTAACAATAGTAGTAGTAGTAGTAGTGATAGTGAGGATGATTTAAAACAACAACAACAACAACGATATCTGACCAAGATAATCACGAATGTGCAGAAAAGATAAACCAACAGAGAAGTATTAGTTATTATCATATTTAGCCAAGAAACGTCTTCTAGCTTTAGATAACATTAATTTACGTCTAGCAGCAAAAGATAAATTTCTACTTCCTTCTTCCTCTTCATCTGTTGTTTCAAGTAATTCATTTGATGATAAAGCGGAACTAGATATAGGCTGATTAGTGACATCATCACGATTACTTCCACTTACTGAACCCAGTGAATTATTCTAAAATGTAAGGATGAAAAGGGTTAGAAATGAATTAATTTATATCGAATACAACATTCTATAAACGTGATATTATTCAGGCAACATCTAAATGTTATCAAATTTTTGGTGGTACATGTTACGACAAATGACAGCAACTGATGGATAGAAAGATATTAGAATAAGTAAATGTATTTGAGAAATAATGTAGTTCACTTCACTTAAACAATCCAAGCAACCTACACTTCCCTAAGTGGATAAGAATAGTTAAAAGCTTCATGAGTATTTGCCAGGTTCTAGTTTGGCAGTTCTTTTAGTAAAAATCGACTTTAAACAACACTGATTACATCACGGAAGATGATAGGTTGATGTGTAGTTTACTATGTTGCAGATGATGAATACCCTAAACAGAAAACTACTCCAGCTAACAAAATGACAACATTTAAGGAATAACCAACCATCATTAAGCCTTGCAAATTTATTTCGGTTACAGGATTGATCACGAGCTGACGCCAGTTAAAGAACCATTGGAAAACCACCAGGGAGTACTGGACAGCCGTTTCGTCCCAGTCTGCGTCTCTTCATCAGAGTGCACGGGGTTCGAACCCAGGACATTACGGTTACAAGACGAGTTCGTAGACCATTAAGCCAATGGACCCAACCCAATGGTCTATGAATTCCAACTTCTGCCAATTCATGATATGTATTTATCCCGGACATCGCCACGGGTAAGTAACTGTCCTCTTGCCTGACTTGGTCGACCCCGCTGGTTACGACTTCTCACTAGAACCCCAGATACCTCTTGTATAGAGGCAGTCGCTAGTGATTAAGTGTCAAGTGTTGGTTTGCAGACATTTGACTGGTTACGGGATTGATCACGAGCTGAAATAAGCTAAAGAACCACTGGAAAACCTGGGAGTACTGACGATTTTGCTCCTACAGTCTTTCATTTTTATCGCATTTACTAATTTAACTTCCATTTCGAAGGTTAATACTGTTAGGTAATATTAAAGAGAAACAATATCTATCGGCTACCTGTGGTTTATAATGATTCTTAAATTCACCTTAATTCTTGGTGAAAAAATTGTTGTGGTCTTTTCATCATAAGAGTACTAAGAAAATTTATTTATCAATATACAAAGTCTACTTTGGACCTGTGCTTAATTATTATTATTTCCTTTAATTCCTAGAGGAACATAGGGCTTCAGCCATGCGTCTCCATTGCCTTCGGTTCTCTGCTGTAGTTTTCACCTGGCTCCAAGTCTGCCCACACGCTTTCAATTCCTCTTCACATGATCTCCTCCATGTCACCCTTGGACGACCAACTCGTCGCTTCCCTTTCGGGTTCCACTCGAGGGCTTGTCTAGTGATGTCACTTGATGGTTTCCTCAGAGTGTGTCCAATCCATCTCCATTTCTTCCTGCCTATTTGTTTCACGATCGGTTCCTGGTTGGTTCGCTCCCAGAGATCGCTGTTGCTGATCCTCTCCGGCCATTTGATCTTGAGTATTGAGCGAAGGCATTTGTTAATGAAGATCTGTAGCTTGTTTGAGCTGCTCTTTGTGACACGCCAAGTCTCTGATCCGTATAGTAGTACTGACTTCACATTGGAGTTGAAAATACGGATCTTATTTTTGACGCTGAATGCTGTTGACCTCCACATAGACTTGAGAGAAATGAAAACTTGTCTTGCTTTTCCGATTCTGGCTTTGATATCCTCGTCAGTTCCTCCTGTAGTTGAGACGATGCTTCCCAAGTAGGTGAAAGAAGTTGTTTCCTTCAGGTTCCTCCCATTTATGCTGATTGTTGTCGGTTGTTGCTGTTGTTGTTGGCCAGGAATCTTCATTACCTCTGTTTTGTCTATGTTCACTTGAAGTCCTATCTTTGCTGCTTCTTCTGCCAATTTGTTGCTTTTCACTTGCATATCTTCCAGTTTGTGGGAAATCAGACATATATCATCGGCGAAATCCAAATCCTCCAAGGCTTTTGTGTCGGTCCATTTTATGCCTGTTCCCTCGTTGGTTGCCGTTGTCTGCCGCATTATCCAATCAACTGCAATCAGGAAGATCATGTAAGTAACAGCCTTGTCTCTCTCTCACTGTGCTTAATAGAATGAGCAAATACATCATCAAAAACTTCATGCAATTCTTCCCATTAATAAACTTGAACAAAGCAAGAACAACAATTGTACCAGGATAATATGAACTCATCTTTTATTATTTCGAGGATTCTTCTCAACTGGTTACAACCTGAACGATGAAAAATATGAATTACATTACATTAAAGATTTGAACATACTTTTCCACGATCACAAGGAGTAATTGGTAGGAAGTAAAAGTAACATTAGTCCGGAATGATTCAACTAATTAAGAGTTACAAACACTGACTATTTATAGAATAATTCAAATGAACTGTGATCAATATTTGACAGTTTATAAATATTTATAGAATAATTAGGCAATTAGAAGAAAAGATTGAGGAAGAGCTATCCATTGTGGAGAAATGCCTACGCGAAAACGGTTACCCACAAAAGTTCATCGACAAGTGTGAGAGACGTCATGTTGAAAAAGTGAAAATCAGCACAGTAGAGAAAAAGCCTATCTTTCTGCAGCTTGCATTCAAAGGTGATGATACTGCCAGTAGAATAAGATGCAGACTGAACGCTGCCCTGAAAAGAACATATCCAGCCGCCAAGCTTGTATGTGTTTATCAAACAACTAGTTGTTTGAGACAATCAAAAGTGGACAAATACCCACCTCATGTTACCTCCAACTGTGTCTACAAATTTACAGGTACATGCCAAAGCACATACATCGGAAGAACAGAGAGAAGGGTTATTGTCCGCATTTCTGAACACATACCAAAGAACCTGAGACTGAAAGGTCAACAAGTATTAAACAGTGCAATTGCGCGTCATCTATTAGACACTGGTCATAATGTAGACAACTTGAAGTCATTCAAAATAACCAACAAGCAAAAGAAACCTAACTTGCTACGCTTTGCTGAAGCAATTGCTATCAGACGACTTAAACCAAATCTATGTACGCAGAAAGAAACAGCGGTGAATCTTGCACTGCCCTGGTGACAACAAAATATACAACTTGTATGAGTCACCTTTTTCTTGTTTAGAAAACCCTACTCTCTCATCTTAACATGACTCACCCTTCTTGTTCTTTTCTCTTCCTTTTTTTGGCTATTAGATAAAGCATTTTCTTTAGTTAAGTAATCTACCTTTTTGTTATGCTCTGTCTAGCTAAACCTTGTTTCTATACGCACACATATATATATGCAACTCTGTTTTTGTTTCCAAGCCTAATTGCCTAATTATTCTATAAATATTTATAAACTGTCAAATATTGATCACAGTTCATTTGAATTATTCTATAAATAGTCAGTGTTTGTAACTCTTAATTAGTTGAATCATTCCGGACTAATGTTACTTTTACTTCCTACCAATTACTCCTTGTGATCGTGGAAAAGTATGTTCAAATCTTTAATGTAATGTAATTCATATTTTTCATCGTTCAGGTTGTAACCAGTTGAGAAGAATCCTCGAAATAATAAAAGATGAGTTCATATTATCCTGGTACAATTGTTGTTCTTGCTTTGTTCAAATACATCATCATCATGGCAAAGAAAGCACACTAATAAATAAAACTAATACTACAGACAAAGTATTTTAAGAAAAGGTGTCAATAGGTTTTTCACGGTTTGACTTACATTTTGATATTCAGTAGTGGTTGCAGTAGATGGAGCAGCGGAAGTGATAATTGGAGTAGAGAATAAATTAATAGAACTTGAAGCTGAAATGATTGGTGGTGGTCGTGCAATTAAATTTTCTGCAGCTAAATCTGGAACACCAGTGGCTAAGAGTTCACCAATTATCACAGAACGAGGGAATTGTGGAAACATATTAGTCAGTTGTTCGACAGCAATACGTAAAGAAACTGGCAATGCATTCAGATCATTAATATCATTCGCCTGGGAGGCACGAACATTTGTATCATTGATGCCCATAGTCTGCTGATTATTCATTTCATTGGCTATATTACTGGGTTGAATATTTCCAAAACTTTGAAATCCGCCGACATGGAAAACCTCACGAAATACCTATAGTAATAGTAAAATTCAATAAAGCTATGATGACTCTGGCAAAGGAATCATCAATGCTGTTGACAAACTTACGAAGTATGCGTAATGACCTTAGAAGACATCTATTTAGTACGCAAACCCAATGCTTCTCTTATGCAGCTCAGGAAAATATTACTTGAAGCATTGACGATTTACCAATATGAATATATATTTTCAGCTTCTTGCAAATACTTTCTGATCACCTATGCTAAATTTTCATGATTATCACTTTTTTACTTTATCTCTCAAAAAATCCACTTTTCAAAACCCGATAACTCAAGGTGAAGAATCTTACAAAAATGTGTTCTTTACATCCTTATATTTCCTGTATTTTGTAACAAGTTTATCAATTTCCATAAACGGGAAAGAACAGAGGTACGTCATGTAGGTGATTCAAGACTTGGCTCGCCAACAGGAAAAGACCACATCAATTTACAATTATTTAACACGAAAACAGTGACAAAAAGCTTAATTTTCTGAAAACCGTCAACGAAAATGTGAATTTGTTCGGTCCGCAGTCTACTCCTATCATATGTGAAATGTCACAGAATTGCACTACACAAAAAATATCCAAAAACAAAGTGAATAAAAATGAAATACAACAGCTGAGTAAGAGAATGAATAAGGTAAACAACCATGTTTATCGTGAGTCTTTAGAAGAGCATCCGTTGTTTCCTAATTCCTTGGGAAGCAGAAAAAAGAAGGAAACTTCAACATGTTCGCTGAGGACTTTGATTCTAAGCCATATCTAATAATGTTTCAAGACAGTCACATGATCTTACGAACACCACTTTGAGTCGCAACACAGCAACAAATTCTGAGTCGATACAGTTGCCCTTCAATTCATAGTAAAGCGTTATGAGGTTACTACGCCTCAGTCTTTTCCAACAAGTTTCCCAGCTGGCCAACTGTGAACGATACAGAAAGCCTGTTGGACGACATTTGTAGCATATGTCCCACTCCTATTGGGTCAACTACAAACAAACCGTTAGTTGGCCTAAACTGACCTAGCCATAGCTACTTTAAACCCAGTAAACGTGTACTTGTTTTTATACTACAATGACACATCAGTTGCATGAGAGCTGAATTTTGTTACATGTTTGTACTCAACTGTCCGGATCAGATTCCTCTTGTACCAGGCTAAGAGCCACACTTATAAAGAGAAGGTCTATGATACACAGAGACTTTAACCCGGGACCTATTGTGTAAAAGTCAAGCTAATAAACCGCATTTACACTGCTCAAACTCTAGCAGGTAGGATTAGGTTCAAATCCGTGACTTGTTGTATGAAAGTAGTGTCCAGACCAACAAGTCTCTCAACAAGATTGCCCACAATCGCTAGTCTTCTAAGGAAGTTAAAGGGGAAATAAAGGAATGATATATAGTGAAGTTCGAACAAAAATGAAACGAAAACATTTTGACTTATCGAAATAAGATATACGGCACAACAACCAACAATGATAGCACCTAATTACACGTACACATTTACCTGTGGACTACCAACTAACTGTCTTAGCGGGATACTGGAGCTAATGCGATGTAATTCACATGAATCTAGGTCCTTTATGATCTGAATAACTATTTTTAATTCTTGAAGAAAGGAATTTGCAACCGATGTATATTCAAAAATCAGAACCAAGATTTATTGTGAACTCCCCCAATATAGTAAACACAAAAATTACATTAAATCGTTAGTACAATTACCTAACTATCAAAACACTTGAACACTAACTTACCTCCGATAATTCAACATGTAGAGACGGTAACCAAGAGAAATACCGTGATCCATCAAAGTGAAAAGATCTTCGTCTAACCTGATCTCCAGCATCATTTCCTGTGGCGGTTGGTTGAATCTATGGGCAGATATAAATGGTGGAGTTAATTTATGGGCTAAAACGTCAAAGAAAGCCTTGATTAGTTTAAAAGCTAATATCTTACTGTGAAGGTTGCACCTGCACAGCTTATATCTACAAATTTTTCAACCCAAGAAGGCGGTGGCTCGGCACGCACAACACATATCCCAGCCATCTCAATCGATTCAGAAGAAACATTTAACTCCATACTTTCAGCAGTCATTTATACAATAAGTAAACGGTCCAACTAGAGGGTGAATCCAAACATCATCAATGTAACCCGACAAACGTGTGCATGCTTATGCACTAAGCGACAATCCACATCTAATACTTATAAAGATTAAAATTTAACAGCCGTACAGTTATACTACACTTCCTTACTGTTTAATTCCAAACAGAATGGGGTGTAGAAGGCGAAAATCTGATGCAGAGAGGTAGAACCTATTAGTTTGTTTGCAAGTTTTCAAGTGTTGTGGTTAGGACTTGATACCTATTTTAAGTGAAGTGGTAGATAGTGCATTAAAACCTGAGATAAATCCAATACACAGGCGAAGGGGATCAATCAATGCACTTTATAAGTGTGTACTGAACGCTAATTCAAATCGTCGAACTTTCCTCTGAAGGCATGGACTTCTGAAAGCAGACGACATAAGAAGGTGATGAATTTAGAACATAAGAAGAATCTCCGTTCAATTTCTTACGTGAAGTCGAACGGGATAGTACGTAATGTCGACACAATACGCATAGGAGGCTATCACTTTCCTTCATGAGTAGTACCAACTGAAGTTATGTTAAGTTGAATAAGGGGTTACGGGTCGTCAGACCTCGGCATCACAGCAACCCATAGAGTCTTGACTGGTAGTTTGAGCCAAGTATAAACTGCCTAAATTGGATCAGAAATAACTTAAAGTCGTTTACATTAGTGCAGATATGTTCACCATTTATTTTTATTGAAATTCCAAAAATTTGTTCGAATCGTTACTGAATTATACTCTCTTACACATATTCATATTTATTTATCATAGTAATATTCTACTTCTCTACATTAGTATACTTTTTCAAAATGTTGCAGCTCGTACTGCTACATTTTGTGGACATTTCAACATAGATCCATCAATTAATCAAACTCCTACGGAAACCAACTACAAATGAGTTAATCTACTATTTCTAAATGATTACAACAAATATTTTCAACTTGGTTAAAATAATTTTAACAGCTTAGGAAACGTTTCTGCAATACAAACAAGAAAATTTGATTGGAGCAGTTTTTCAGGTTTCATTGAAAATTAATGCATAAATGTTTTAAGAACCTGATTAATAACAAATGAGTGTTCAAAAATATTAAGATCTACTTACTTCTTGATTATTAAAATGTGTCTCTTCTTGAGCAGTTGAACTATCTACACTTTGTGAGGGGACATTCGAAACCTCTTCTACCTGAGTGCTAGCGCCACCAGAGGGAGAATTAAGAGTACCTGATTCACGAGGTAAAGCATTCATGGCAGCTGCTTGTGCTGCTGCGGCAACCACCGGAGCAGCACCAATACTCAACCCAAGGTTCAACCCAATGGCTGTAGCAAACATTCTGGTAATCCCAGACACTTGGTTTGGTTGAATGGCAGTATTGGGTGTTACTATTGGCTGTACATTATTGATTCCATTACGATTTTGATTGGCTACACCTTCATTTCCAATGTTATTGAACAAATTTCGAACAAGCATACCAAGTGCGACATTTTCTGTTCTCTGTGTTCTTTGATGGTTGTAAAGAAGTACAGGAGGTATGCCTAAATCATGTCTGCAAGTGGGACAACTTGGATTCTGTTCGAGCCAAGCACGAAGGCAGTGTTCATGGAAGTCATGACGGCATGGTAATCGCCTCCAATTTGTCATAATCTCCCAACATATTGCACATACAAGTGCAGAATCATTTTCAGAGTCATGTGAAAACACGTGTGAATCCTTACTGTCAGTTTTAATATGCGTATCCGTATCTTTGGACATCTGAATGGAAAAAGAAAACAAAATGAAACAAATGACATAACAAAATGAGAAAAAAAACCTACTGACATGAAACTTATTCAATAAATGCTTGCTTTTAATGAGATTATTTTGATAATACAAGGTTTTATGTTACTCATGTGCGTCTTCTGTTCGTGGTAACGAGAATCAGAGCAGATACAAGCATTACGGCGTACCACTTAGAACCTGTATTGATAAGGTTATAAGATTATTTTGTACTTTTCAAACACAAAATCAAAATACATAAAATTACACGGCTCTGCAGCCATGTCAAGAAGTGAACGATGTTACCAGTCTGTGTGTAGCCTTTGGTAGATTAAGCGAGCTTTGAATACGTGACTTAGTAAGTGTAGAGTATTTCAATTCCTCAGTTACAAAATCACCAAAAATTTCCCCGGTGTTACAGACGATGACCACAATTATCAGTACCAAAATGAGTCCAAAATTAGGGATAAAAAACTACAACATTAAATGCCATGTGAAATGAATGCTCCCCGTAAATAATGACTTTCAGCTAATAATTAATTGTGCATACTTATTACCAGTTTACCGAGTGCTGCAACGCAAGGAAGAGATTAACAATAACTGTAACCGTAACACAAATAAGACCGTGCTCGAGATTACTGCAGTAATAAAAATACATTAAAAGTACATGAAAGGACACATAATTTTGTTGAACAATCATATACTAATACAACAAGTTCGAATTCCCAACATGTCCTGAGGTCAGCAACACCACTACTCTTGGAATCAGTGTTCAAAGAATAGTAATGCAAAACCTGGGTCTAAAATTTGTGTCACGTTGAAAATCTGTGAACAAATGAAAGATAAAACATTTATAGTACTACATGGGTTCTCCCTATCGTCCGCTGCTTGTTGAGTAGGACAAGCTATGACTAAAATTGCATAACAACTAGTCAGATTAAACAGAATAAGGGAATCAAATAAACCAAGTGAGCTTAATGCAACTGAAGTAAATTCTATTTGCTACTGGTTTTGTATATTCTCATGACATTAACTGGCTTTTAAATGTCTTAAAGAACAAAGGTTGCACACCTTATTTATTCGGTTGAAAGTCAAATTTCAAAATCAATGACTTACAATTACATTATCACACTAACAGTGTACAGCTGTCAAACTTCTTGAAAAATAAAAGGCGAATGCAGCAAAATGGAAAGATAAAATGTTTAGTGAATCAGACACAGAATAAGCGTATTTATTCGAACCATTAATGTGTTGTTTGCAGTGCAGAAGTGATATATCTGAAGAATTACAACTGCACAACACTTCATACTAAACCAATTCTTCATATGGACAACTAAATTATATGGGGATAATGTCGACAATTATCAATAAAACCCCATAAAAACGGCTTTCTTATAGAATTTCAGGACTGCAGTACAAAGAAAACGAAAATGGAAATACACACAAAAACACGCTTTAATTACCAGCACGTTTAGCAATGAGCTTTCAAAAACTAGTCTGTGTCAGATAACAAAAATAATAGTAAGTTACTTGCACATCGAATGAAACATAAGTCGACTCTCTGATGCAGAAAGATAACTTACTAACTAACCAAGTGAACCAGTTTCAAATGGTTGGAGGATATAGTGATCATACGAAAACTAAGCAATTCATTTGCCTCGGACAATTCCATTATATACTCAGTTAGGAGCTGCAGGAAGAAAGTCGAATGCTTACACTAATAAGCCAAACTCCCATATGAAGTATGCAAAAACACCAGAAAACAACAGACAAATAAGTTCTATAAAAAGCCATTTAGTTTGTTACAGAGATCAAAACATTCATTCCAGCAGGTGATCTCAGTACTCAACCCATTCACTACAGAAAAAGCACAGAAAAATACTAAAAATAAACTTATTCTTCAACAGAACTGGAGACAATATGGAAGCCGGCTGGTGAAAGTGGCTATCATGACATCAATAACAAAATCCACAGTTCTCATACAGTGAGAACCAGTCTCCTTCAGGATAATGACAGAAGGATTCAACTCAAAAGGACAGTTGTAATTATTCAGTGCTATGTTCCCCAAAATCAAGAGAAGGGCTTCTATAGACAACTGAAGACAGTAATGGACAAACCTATAAGTGATTACATTAAAATCTTAATTGGTGATATGAATGCAAATATGCGAACAAACCACACAGAAAGAGAAATCATGGATCGAGAGGCCCCAGACGAAATGAATGAGAACGGAGAAACTCCTCGCAGACTTCTGCGCATTCAATGATTTGGTGGTAAGAGGCAGTGTGTACAAGCTCACGGATACACACAAGACGGCATGGCTTTCACCTAACGGACACACCCAAAATCAGATAGACTTTATCCCAGTTTCAAGAAAGCGGAAACGCAACCTGCTGGACACAAAATCTTGAAGAGGAGCAGATGCAAGGCCAGATCATCATCTAGTGCAAAGAACCTCCAAGGTCAATCTGAAAGTCATGAAAGCAGCTGCGGACGGAAGAACACTGGACTTGACAGTATGACTATACAGTCGTTTAAGAATGGTAATCATGAACTCCTATGTGGTTTGACTAAAATATTAGGTAATGTCTGGGGTCGTCCGTTAGACTGCTGTTAATCACTCATCACCCCATTATATAAAAAGTGAGAAAAGCCTTCCTGTGGTAATCACAGGGGAATTAGCTTGACTAACATGTTACCTAGAGTTCTACGTTTAATAATCACGAGTAAACTAAGTGGTGCTCAGGAGGAACAAAGCAACAAGACCAGTTAGGTTTTACACCATATTTTACCTTTCGGTAGTTCCTCCAACACTGACATCCTTATCGGAGTCCGATACTTGCCATATCTCTTGACCTGAAGACGGCATTAGACTGTCGACAGAGAGATGCTGTAGCAATATCTAGCCATGAAATGAGAGAAGAGAAATTGTATCACAGTAGTCAGGGCACTCCATTCGAACTCACAGCTGAGAAAGAACTTATGAAGAGTTGTCACCTGAATAATGACAACCAGTGGTGTTCATTAGGGATGCCCGGCGTCACCATTTTCGTTTAATGTCATCATCGATGAGACGTTAATCAACTTTAGTAACTTGGCGATTGACTTGTTACCGGTAGTCACCGGTAGTGTCGTCGACTCTGAGTATGCGTACGACATAGTTCTTCTAGGAGAAAATGCTGATAAAATACAATCTTCTGACCACCTTGAGCAGAAGTCTTGGAATGCTTGGCATGCAGGGATCATGCTGCAAGACTGGACTGCAGAGACTCCTAGTTCAAAGGTGGGTGGCAGTAGAGCGTCTTGACTACTTCGTTTATTTCGGAAATTGCATCAACCACAATGGACTGATTCCCGATGAAATTCTAGCACGGATACAAAAGATTCGCTTGGCACTAGCCAACTTACGTCATTTCTGGAATAGACGTGACATATCTAGCTATCGACAAAAAGGATGTAGGTACTGAGTAGCGGTTCGCTGCGTTATCCTCTGTGGCTGTGAAAGATGTCTATTGAAAGTGGGAGATATGAAAAGGCTAAGTGTTTTTGGTCACAGATGTCTGCGTTTTATCTCCCATGTTAGATGCCACAATGCGTAGTAATACTGAGATTAGACGTGGAATTTTAGTTAAGGAGAAAAAGCTAGTCGATGAAGCTTTGAAGCTTCATCGATCCGGATGGCTAGAACACGTGTTATGCATTCCAAGTCATCGCCTTCCCCATTAAATATTTCCTTCTGAAATAGGACTAGGTTGACAAAGTGTTAAGAGTAGTTACATCAAAACCTGGCATGAATCCATGAAGTCTTTCACTGTTAGTTTGAGCTTTGTAGGGGAAGGTGTAGACCACCTGATTCGGTTCCTTGGCATGCTAAGAACCGATGACTGGAAAATGTTAGTGATATGGCTCAGTGGCTCAGATGTATTCACACTTTGTGATCTTCCATACCCATCAAGCCCTAGTGTCATTCCATGTTACTATTCTTTCTCCCCCTCCGCCCCCTACATTTCTGCTTATAATAGTATGGTGGTGTGATACAGACAGTACGTTCCAACGGAATATTACTCTCACATATTTCCACAGTTCAATACAGTATTAGCAACAGAATACTATGTATATTTGAACATTCTATTTCATGTCGTTTAATGTAAGCCAAAATCACACACTCAATGATTGGTTAGAGGATATATATATAATTTTCCGGTTTGATCACTTGAAAATATACCTTGGCTTCCGAGTTTTGCCTTCCGTTGTTACAATAGTACTTTGAATCTGTTTTTTATCTTAAATGTCTACCTTTGTGTGCTACACGGAATGCAGCAACTTGAGTCGCTGCACTTCTGCGCTAAGTTCTACGTTGAAGCTTAGTTGGTCAGTTACTGAGTTATACTACTGCGGGTGAAGTTGAAAATATCACATCGTTATACTTAGCGTAACAATACTGAGCTACGCTAAGGAAGCAAATAACCAAACTTTTCCAAGCATTCTAGAGATGATCGTGTTTAACTGCGTTACTCTAACAATTCATTGGACTGCACCGGTCTTTATTTCCATACATGAAACTTAATACTAAGAAAGCATGGCCGTCTATAATTTGCCCAGTTGACAAACAGTTATACTTACTAGCTTGAGGTGAACAGTCAAGAATGTGTAATTTATTCCACGATAATCATTTAGATGTAGGAACTTTTTTTACTTTCTCTGCTTTTTACTACTCCGAAGGTAACGCAAAAATCAAAAGACAGTTTCGTTATTTCAGAACAAAACCATGCCTGCAAATGGATGATGCATCTGAATTGACAACGGCTGTAACTATATTGAAGATAAGATTAAACCTACACATCGTAAAGAGGTTCGGAAACGGAACGCTTCAAAAATCAACCTAAACTGGTTAGACTTAAACAGAGTTTGGTAAATGATGTGATATTCTAAAATGATACCAGAAGTTGAAAGTATATATCCGCAATTTTCATCAACCTCATCCGAGCAAATATTCATTCATTAGAAAGCCCTATACTAGAAATAATGTTCACCTTTACCATGTATGAACCACTATTACTGTGTACTTGTGGTGAGAGCTGTCTACTAGCCAAATTGGTAGACAGTAATACACGTCAATGTTTACGTTCTCAAGATTTGTCGTGAGAAAATGTGAACAAAGATTGATTCAAAACCGACCACAACAGACTTTGCGTAGGCGGATGCAGTTAACATATAGAGGACTTGACATTCAAGAAACAGTTACAAATAGATGAAAGATTAACTTTACGTGAGAAACAACCAATCGGAAGACTGCGTTTGTTTGCTTAACTATCCATAGTAATGTACATGAAAATATATAAATATGCTTTGATTTCCTTAATAAATGATCTGTTGCCTGGCCCTTGTCTTCTGTTGTTACATACTTACTATTTCTAATGGAGAGTTATTAACAAGTGACTAAACATTTGCGTTTATTGGACATAAAATGATACACCAGATGCTAAGAAAGCTTAAGTTGAAAAGAAAGATACTTTTAACAGTTTAGTATAAGTTATTTATGATTGGCTATGGGAAAGTAAATGCACTGCAGAACGTGCTGTTCCTTTCGATCCTATAACAGCCATTGAAAACGAATACGGTAGTTATGCATCTATTTTCTAGAACGGCAGAATGAAGAAAGTTAGAGCCAGAAGTACGTGTACACTGAGTTATTAACACCATATTAAAGCACCATACACTTCGAGCTTTGATTTTGTCAGAAGTGTACATAATTATTTAGAAACATGTAGGGAACATGCTCCCTTTTGTTGTCTCAATTAATATCTTTATGCACTGTCTCTTTATTCATTCCTACATTTTGTCATTGACTCATGCGTTAAATAGAACTGATGCACATTTACTTAGCATTATGAAATACCTAATAAGCCTTACCACCGCAAGTTGGGTGAAAATGACTGGGTTAAAGAATTGATTAGATGTCAGGGACCTGTGCCTATTTTTCAGGTTTTTAAATTCGTGATGACGGGAATTTTTAAGAGCTGCATTCATGATAATGGAACAAACGAATAACGGTTAGAATGTACAGCGATTTAGGCAATTTTTGGATGATAGTTGGCAAAAAGTAGATTACCTATGCTTTTCTAAAGCAATTCTGTGAAACTTATACATTAGCACCTTTATCTGTTAGCATCCTTCCCTCTGCAGAACACACCTTTGCCAGTTAGTCTGAACGTACTAACACTCAGCTACAAGCTAACTTTTGTCAAGTCCAATGGTTATTATATCCAAGTTTAGAACAAAGAATTTTTTCCACTCACAGTGTGGCAAAAACAATCTTAGGCAAAATTAATAACAGTGACATAAGCATTATGAGAACTTACGGATCTATTTGTCCTGCAAGCCTGGTAGTTTTCATTAATATATTTCATGAGCCGCCTCTGTGCCAAGTGACGAGATATACTATTCGCCAAATTCGAATAAGATACACGTATATGCAAGAAAACGACAAGACTTGCAATAGAAAATACTCTGCTCCACAACAAAAGATGTAAGAAGTGTGCAATCTCTATTAGGCGATATATACACGTAAAAATGAGCTCATAATAATACGTGACCGTTGATTGATATCTCCAGCTTTGTCCTTTGTATAAACACCAGCGATCATAGGCTTGAATGAGTAATCCAAAGAAAAGATGGAAGATTGTGCACATTAAAAGAACAAATTCAGATATCAGCAACGCAACCACGTCGACGGCATCATATAAAAGTTCTTTTTTTCCTGTTATTTTCGCTTTTAATGCACCCAATACAGTTGGTGTTTTGAGCCCAGTTAAAAATGAACTCCGAGAGTAAACATCCATGAAGTCGCCATTTGTTTCAACATCTATATCAGCTAATATGAAGCAGTTTTCCAAACCAGCTTTCAGTAAATACCAATTCAACGTAGAAACGACTAAAAGCATACTGTATATTCGCACCCATTGACGAGTATTTACGGAACCTGAGGCAGATATTTGGTTACAACGAGAAGATGCAACACATGTTAACATGTGCAATACACCCAGAACACTAAACCAAGAAAGCCATCCTAAGAGACTCATTAGTTTGGAAGGATTGATGGCACCAGATAAAATGATAAAATGAAGAAGAACAAAGCGGAACAGAGACTTGGAAATCGAGACCTTTTCAGAGGGAGTCAAGCTACCGAAGAACACAATAATAGCTAATTTCCAAAGTACTAGAAGAACCGCAAAAAGTCCCAGTACAAGAGATATGAATGTAGATATATTTTCAACTGATGTGGGAAAACTGTTGTTAAGCTTTGAATCTGCATCAGTGTCATTGGTCAATGTCACTATTTCCAGTGTTTCTGAACCATCATCGGGATGAAGAAAAGATTCAAGCACACAAAATGCAGAGAGAATACCGGAAACTGACAAGAAGAGACATATTTCAGTACGAAATAACCACATCACAGCACTTTCGACTAATTTATAAAGCCGTCTGCCCCACAGACTCACACTCTGAACTATCATTCGTCTTTTCCAATTGCTTCTCAAAACGAACGTTATCTGCAATTGACTTTACTTGGCACTCTGATTGTTGCTAAGCGTCAAGACATGGATGACACTAACGTTGGCGCTTTTCAGCAAGTACCTGAAACCAGCAGGAAATAACATGAATGTAATAAAAATGAAATTAGGTGAGCATATTACAATGAACATGAAATGAAATAAAAACAGAAAATGATATTCAACAGAATAACTTCTCTACATTGCTATCTATAGTCAATCATACCACAGCTAACAAAATGTTTAGTCATTATAATATAAACATTGAGAATATTTAATTACAGTGTGCCACATAGTTGGGAATGCCTTTTATCTCAGTGGATCAGGTCCCAGGTTCAAATCAGAACTCTACAATTACAGTATGAAGTGGAACAAATTACTACCTACAGCAATTTAGTGGCAATACTTAAAACTTAGATTAAAGTGATGATTTTCTTCAGAATTCATTAACAATTATAGTATGTTGGGCTATCAGTGTTAATGCCCGAAGTATAGCTGAGTAACTCAATTTTTATTAACCATTGTAGTCTTCTAAAAATCAAGAAGACTCACATTTCGGCCCCATAGGAGTAAAGTCTAGGTCTCTCCACATTACGAAGTCTAATGCTTTAACATATTTCTGGAATAACTGCCGTGTTAACGTTTGTGAAAATAAAGTTTCTTCCTGGAAATGTTCACAGATAATACAATTTATACGAGTAAAGAGTCTTTACTGTTGACTACTGTACGTGAACTTTCTCGTGATTATTTTGAAGGTAGTGAATCGTACAGAAAGACGATAAACAAAGAGTATCAATCACCAAACTAGTATAAGCTTACAGAAATTGATATTACATCCCCCTTCACTTGCAATAGAGTTGAATATGTCCAGCAACAAGGTCGTGATGCTTTTAACACACTAGCAAACTGGCTTGTTGTTATGATAAAGACAGGGTCGCAAGTACGTCAAATACAAAATTTAAAGTGTGACGACTAGAGTACATGAAAAGTCCGTATAGCGACGAAAGCAGTAAGTACATATGCTTCGGAGTGCGAACACTCCACACAGCACCTACAACCAAACCTACATGCTTCATTTCTGAGGTTAAGCAATGGTGAACTACCAGCCGCGGTCCATATGTGCTGCTGCACATTTGTTTTAGCAGTATCAGCACCTATGATGGGTTTTTTCAATCACCAGCTGGAAAACCACAACTGTTATCAGGTCCGAAATGGAACTCATGAGAAGTCGGTTACCATATTCGCCTCGACATGTACCACCAAGTAACGCTTTTGAGGGTAATTTGGGAGTAATGTCAAAATCTGGAGAAAATGGAACATTTTCCCCGGAAAACACCCAAATCCCAAAAACTTCTATTCGAGTTGCACATGATTCCCTAAAATTGCTGCTGAAATTCCGGCGAATTCCTATGAGTGGTTGCTCAATGACAGACAACTTAGTAATACACGTCCACGATATAATGTGTGACCACTCAGTTCGTGGACCGTTAGGTTTATTGTTATAACGTAGTCGTTTCAAATTCAGACGATAAGGATAGCAGGCTTTTGTGGCCTGTGTTAATCCTTGCAAAATATGTCTCTGCAGAGATCTAACTTCTCTTTGAAAGCGTTCACTGATGGAGCTGATACTAGTGAATCAGGTAAGGAGTTCCAGTCGTTAACCACTCTGTGAGAAAATCTAAATTCCTCTCATATTTTAATCACCCTCGGTTTGAGCGCCTTTTAGCGGTGGGGAGAAAAAGTTAGAAAAGTCAGTTCCTAAATCACCCTGAAGTATTAGATATGCTAAAATTAAGTCGTCCCTCTTCCTTCGGCATGATAACGGGAAGAGACTAAAAGGCTCCATCCTTTTGTCATAAGGAAGGTGTGACATACCACTAACTAACTTGGTTCCCACCCTTTGTACTCTTTCAAAGATGTCTCTCCTTCTTTAAGCACGGACTAGCCATTTGTATGCAGTATTCTAGATAAGGCCTGACATATGTTGCGTACAGTACTTTGAACATAGGCTCATCTAATCGTTTGAAAGCCTTTCAGAGTACCAATTGCTGACAGTGATTTCTAGGTTCTTCTGTCCGTTAACATCAGGTAGTTCTGTGTCACCTAGGGAGCATAAGACTTAAGTGCATTACCGCGCTTTTCCTGGAATTAATTTCCAAACTCCGTAGGTTCGACCGCTCAGCTAATTTATCTAGATCACTTTGTAGGGCCGACCTATCGTCGTTATTATTTACAGTTTTGCAGATAGTAATGTCTTCCGAAAATAATAATAAAGATGAAGTAAGAATCCCCGGTAGTTCTTTGACGTAAAGTAGGAATAGTAAGGGGCTTATTACAGTTCCTTAAGGCACTCCACTGGATACTGATTTCCACCCTGACAGTACGCTGTTAACTCTAACCTTCTGCTTTCTATCCATTAAGTAATCCTTTAACCACTCGCATTGGCACTGATCTAGTCCGAAACCTTCAAGTTTACTAAGGAGACCTAAGTGGGATACTTTATTGAATACCTTGCTAAGATCGATAAAAACCACGTCCAACAGAAGGTTTTTATCTCTGCCTTCAACCCAGCCTTCCCTAGCCGATAGTAGGTTTGTCAGGCAGGATCGTACTGGTCGGAATCAGATTCTCAAGAAATTAGTGCATGATTGAGATAAACGCTACGTTCTATCACACAGAACAGTTAGAATGCAAAGAAATAAGAACCGAAACCATATTTTAGGCTGCATAAGCGCTACATCGAACACTTACAACGTAAGACGCCTTTGGAAATCACCATCAATATACGAGCGCGCCGATTTTTGTGTTTACCGTTTTCTTCGGATTCTTGAAGGTCACGACAGTGGTGGCAATAGAAGGTGATAATTACTCACAAATCTCAAATAAAACATTTTATTACATTATATGCATTTAAGAAGTGGCTTGAAAAATAGTTACTTGTCCTTACGTATAAGCAAAAGGGAAGATTTCACATCATGAGCCCGTGTAAATATTGTCTCTTAGTGCTCGCTTCTTTCCTTATTTCGAGGCCGTTCGAAGTCTTTTGAGGATTCCAGTACAATCCATTCCTTCGGCTGTCACACCTCTTTCCAAGTTGACAAAAGGAGGTTCATTAGTCAGTCCTGGAGGAAACATAAGGATTGAACCATATAGTTGGCACTTCTAAAACTTGGAACTTCGTTTGAACGGAGATTCATACAATTAGGTTAACAGACTCTCTAGCGGAGACATGCTAAGTGAGTGGAAAAGGAATATAGGGAAAGATTAGACAGAAATAATAGAAGGTTTGACAAAAACACCCCAGTACTACAGGAGAGACGGTGGAAGCACATACACGCAAAGAAAGTAAAGAACGAAACGTGAGGAGGAATATATATTGGATAGAGGAGGGAAGTATAAAAAATCAGGCTGGGTATTTGTTATACCCTAGAACTAATCTGTTTTCCTCATGGATTTTTCCAAACCTACAACTTTTGTATAGTAATCTAGGCTTCTCTAAAGGCTGACAAGGGAAGCAGCGGTTACCATGTCTGATAACGTTGCAATGCACAGGCGATAAAATTCAAAGGGAGAAAAGTTGAAACCGCTTTTGTTGATGCTATTTATTTCAGTTCTTTTCGGCTAAATCCAAAGAACTCCATGGGGCTCCACCGGCAAAATATCTCGCTTTATATCCCCCTCCCAATACACCGTATCGTGTGCCCTGATATGGCCACCACTGAGTATGTTTTGGTTCCGGGCATGCAAATCCGGCCTTTATGGTCGGCTGTCGAAATCCTGGTATTTGGGATCGGTAGCTTACACTGTAAGTTTACCAGGAAATTCACACTGATATATAGGAGTGATCGTTGAGTCGAATTTTGTAATTATAAATAAAGATAACGTGTCCAATAAAGCCAAGACTAATCAGTCATATTACATGGGTGCTATGCTCCAAGGATAGACCATGGCATCTGGAAATTCCAACGCTAAACATGTAATAAAAGATTCAAGCCTTTACAACAACGAGAAGAAGTAGGGTGTCAGCATTATGATAACTAAACAAAAAGATACTCATATGATCATGAATGAAATCACTAAATACAGTTTTAGGGGTTGCAGGTATCGACGTTCGCGAGTTGTACGGATTATACTAACGCAAGATCTCATACCAACAACTTCTATAGTGTTTGCTCTTCGAGTACGAAAGGTAAAGCAAAAGACCAGATTTAGCCGTCCAAAGTACGTATTATATTTCAGGACCAAATCGCGGTTTGAAGTGAATGCTTAGCTAGCTAGTAATCGTGCACGCACGTGACACGACGTAGTACCGAATGGCAAGGATCCTTGACCGGAAGCCTTCAGCTAAACAAGTCGACTTAAACAGTGAGGTTCAGCATCCAATGTTGAGTGATGATTGCTGTGGCCAATAATTTTGGGGAATTACTTACCGCTACACCGTTAATGAATATCACAAAGAGCAAATTTGGAAAGCAACTATGAAAAAATTTATGATATTTTCAATAAAAATGAAAAGATGATGTCATCACAATGTCACAGTATGTCAATTAATATATTGTCTCATGACTCCTACAACTATTTATGCAATCCTCATTGAATACTACTAGCCGATATCAAGAATTTATGCAACAATGCATGATACATTTAGTGTCTGAAGCCGTTTGGTTTATTCTACTGACAATGAATACAAATCAGCAATATGCAAATTTATTGTGATCTATGAAAAAAAGGGCGAAGACATTCATTCATTCATTAGAGACTGTTTTCAGTGATAAACTCAATAAACTTGAGAAGGAAAAGAACTGTGATGTACAGAGAAATAGGTGTAAAAATGGCTTTCATGCTGGACCATCGCATGTTTTACAAGCTCTAAATAGTCTAATATATCTTCTGACTTTAGAATATTCATAATTTGTCTGACCGCAAGTATACCAAACTAGGTCTGGTAGCCCATTCTGTAGGCTAATAATTCCAAGTAGCTGGTTTGAATTCTACTGCAACACAAGTTCTCATTTTATTTGCAACAGATACTCAGTGTTAACTTGCTTTAAGAAGAATTTCTCACTAGACGATCTACACGCCAGAACTATGTTTTGCTAATTCGGAAATAGCAGTCTGATCGTTAGATATTCTCGATCTGACTGAAAAGTATTGTTGTTTAATGTGAGTTGTTTCCAACTATAAATACATCATTTGGTAACCTGCATTGTTCTCTCTCTTAGCTTGGCCTGAAACAAACAAGCAAACAATATTTCTCCTCTTACAAGTAAAACGATACCAAAATGTTACAGTTTCGCTCATCAGTGAAAATCGCGTTCCTTGTCTCATATATATGTGACACGAGTGAATTTTGCATTTTTGACACCGCCACTATTGTTCAACTTAGCCACAACGTCCATAGTGAAAAAGCGGAAAAACTGTCCTGTAAGAACAAAAGTGGACAGATGAAATCAGCACTTGTATAATTAATTAGAAGATTTCTCCATGAACTTTAAGTGTAGCAAAAAATACCTCAAGCAAACAGGAATCATGTGCAGTGTATATCAGTTGGTGAAAACCTGTCGGTGTAAAGAAGTATCTAAATAATATTTATGAACTAAGAATTCATAATGCACATTTTGCGGGTATTTTACGCTTGCACACCTGCAGAAATAAATAAAGGAATGGCTAAGCACAATATGACTGAACATTAGATTAAGCCGGTTGTGAACTTCAGAATTACAACTGTCTGTCTTATTTTTACCTTGAAAATAAAAGACGTCCAGGAACTAATGAACGCAAATCTTATCTGTAATATATTTATTTCAGAGGATGCATCACTTCACATTTGGCCCGTAATGTAAACTTGTTGTTATTGTCTCAAAATATCCCTGATTACTTGGTACATTCTCAATCCTTCTTTCCTAACTAATCACTACTTGTGTCTTATGGAGGATTTTGAGTGGATTTATTGCATATCCCCGTTAATTGTGGCGCCGTAGTCCATTGCTATAGAGGCTTAATGATTAGTTATATGCTTTCTTTAGGTGAGATTTCGTTTGAAATGTTTTCTGACATACATATTACCTGTGGCATAAAATTCTTGAACCACGTCACATTCGCTCAACTTTTATCAGAAAATATCGCTTGATGCTGATATCTACACAGCATAATTCATTCAAAAATGCAGTATGCTCAAACTTTAAACATATTTTCTTCAATTTTTATGGAGTCATGAGGTTATGTTTGGTCTAATTATTGGAACGTGGCAGTACCCACAGGATAAAACAGGTGGCGCCACTTCAAGAAAGGGATATGGCATATAATCGCGCTTTAAATTTGTAATTGGAAAATTCATCCCATTGTGCATAAATAGCCATAAGCCATGTTCGAGTTACAAATATGCATTTGCTAGAGCCTTACTTTCAGTCTAAAAGACATTAATGACGCAATACCTATGCATAAATTGTGATCAACTGCTCTTAAGTCAGTTACGAACATCCGACAACCAATCAATACATTCATTACTTCTTTCTTAACAAATCGAGTTAGTTTCACGATGTCTACCTATGGAATTGTAAGTGTCAGAGTTACTTATGATTTCAAGTATTTGCTGAAATTCAGCTTTTCAGTAAACGAGGTCACAGAGAAAGTCGTGTGTTAAATAATTACAATGTTGATCAAACCAAATCCAATCTGTAACCGCGGCAATTCGAAGGCTTTGTTAATTTTTCGCGTATTATTCCTGAGTTCTTTTTGACTCTATAGGCGACTTATTAATAGGTCTTTCACTGATAGTATTAAATATTTAGTCCTATTCTTTCATAAAATATATTTTCTCCGGTTAGAATTGTTTGTTATAGTTAGTGTCTACTAATGTACTGCTATTATCGCATCTTTGCATTCATAGTATTTGTATAGCGTGTCTTTATACCATATTTCAATATTTTCATCCGTATAAACTGTTAGTTGCAGACAGAACTAGACAGTTTAAATCTCAAACACTCTAAAACGGACCCCACAGACACTTTGCTCATTCTGTTGTATATAAGAACTTAAACTCTATCCGAAATGCCACTAGTCCAAATCAAGCGTCTGACTTCATTGTCTGCTTCAAATTCCAGTAAAAAAACCAAACAGAATAAATGGGCCTGCAGGAAGTGAGAGCACTACATCCAGTGATTTAACAATTACATACAGGTTTACTGCAGAAGACGAGTCCGGACATTAAACTTCCCTCACCTGCTTGCGTAGTAAAAAACATCATGGATAGTATACATAGTGATACTACGTGTAACAATCTACGTCTCATAGACACTTGCAAAGCGTCTTGCGATATGAATCACAGGGCGAACATTGTGACTCCTATCAATGATCCAGCTTCTTGTTCTACACTTAGCTGTGCAGAAAAAATCGAAGAACTATTTTCTGTTATTAAGGGGTTCGAAGATAAGATATCAAAACTGGCACCACCTAGTGAAATTGGCAGTAGTAGCAGTTCACGTAGAACGTTACCAAAAACCTGATAAACTGTGTTGTAACTGAAGTATATCGACGTATAGTGCGCGAGAAGAACATAATCGTGTATAATATACCGGATAATGCACAGGTCAACAAGGTCAAAAGCACTCTTCTGAATTTATGCTCTATGAGTCATGTCTCGTGCAGCTATCATCGACTAAGAAAATCTCAGAAAAATAAATCTTGTCCACTTGTGTTGAAATTTGACTCGTCCTCTAATGGTGACATCTTTTACAGTAGGCAAACACGACTGAAAAATACGCGTTACCATACGATTAAGTTAGCTCGTGACAAAACGCCGATCCAAAAAATGACTTATTCTAAATCCGCGAA